ATGAAAATGAAAGATTCTGATTGGTTCATTTTCTTATGCGTTATGCATTATGCATTATGCAGAAATGTGCTCCTGTCCTAGCAATCTTTAAAGTGCATCGATATAGGATAGTGCAGGCAACCGAATTTATTTTTTATTTTATAGAGAAATCATGGCATCACTGATATCAAAGGATACTCAAAATAATAAACACGCGACAAACACATTTTTATATTGACAATGTTATTTTTAAAAATATTTAACTTTAGATAATTTTTCACGCTTATTAACATAGACTTTTTATTATTTTTAAACTATTTTAATAGTCTTAAATATTTAAACAATTAGGCTACTTTACAGTATTAAATCCTTTTTTATTTTTATCTGCATGCTTCGTAGATAATAATATATTGTTACGAAATTATATTTTGTCCGTGTTTGTTAATGTTAAGCATGGATAATCGACATCACTGAATCATAAATGTATATATATTTGCAAAATAACTAGATAAAAATTACAAATTAATCTTATTAAATATTATTAGCTAATTCATTATCTAAATATTCACCATGATGCAAACTATGAAACGATTTTTAATTAGTATCTTGAATTTTCACGAATAATCCTGCCTTTCTAATAAATGAATAAATAATGAAATTGCTTCTAGAGAAATTCGATACAATCTAACATGTTTTATATATTCAATATTGAATATAATATATGATAATATATATGATATGTCAGAAAAAATTGTCAAATATTAGTCAGATATTACACAGATATTGTTATTTTGCATATGTATAATTCTATGTATGATACAAATGTATATGAAAACTAAATTAAACTAAAATTTTCTGAAGAAATAATTATTTAATTCTCAAAATTGACTATCAAAAAAAATAGCAGGTTTTGCTAAATCACAATTATCTAAGTATTTTAAAATTTAAATAGAATCTTGGAAAGTCAAGTTTCATTTCGCAGCTATTTCACGCACATTCTTATCACGTATTGAACTGATGATTTAACCACTGGAGAAGAAATCGATAAATTCACTTACAGAAATTGATAAATCAATTTTCTTTTACTCTTATAAATATCTTGTATCTTGAAGATCCTCCGTCCTTAAGGATTGTACACATATATTTTTCAAATCATTGATGATTATTTTGCATCATCGAGGACGCAGTTTGATAATTAGAAATGTGACTTAAATTAAGAAAAGCAAAAAGGAAAAGCATAAAATAAATAAATAATGTGGCCGATGGGAGAAATAAAAATCGATTATCAAGTGTAAGTGAGTTCTTAATCATAAGCATATGATGTTTGCTACACTAAATCTACGCACGATGTTTCATGATATGTCATTACATATAAACTTGTGACGTACTCTCCTCAAGGATTTATCTTGATTTTTTTTTTTTTTCTTTCACTGTTCCCAAGAAAAGAGATTACAATAATACTTACAGCTCCTTTTCTCTTTTCTTTTTATACATATCTGTGTTTCATACACACATACGATTCCTACAATGACATTAAACTGATTAAAGACAGTTTGAAGACATAGTTCGGTTTTGCACTATGGTGTGTGGTTTTACGTCGCAGAATTACGTGGCAGAATCATTCATATCTTCGGACGAATCGCGGGGTAAAAATTGAGAATACGTGGGGGCACTTCAATCCTTTATAAATATTAAATTTAAAGCATACTTGACATACTTAAAAAGTATCTCTATCCAGCAATCCAATGAAACTATGCTACAGCGTGTATTCACTTTGAGGGAATTCATATGTTACATATGTCAACTTAATATAAGTTACAGTCTATTCCAACTGAAGTCGATCCAGTCAAAAGTTTCTAATTGGGGAAATGTATATATCTTAAAACACTAACATGATTCAACGATCAACAACATAATGTACACGTTAAACATATGGAATAATCAATAAACGTCGCGAAAGACCGCTTCAAACCGACGTGATATGAACTAGCAAACTCCGTAAGATATGCAGAAGTATATGTAAGAGTGGATTAACATTTCGTTTCTATTTTTGTGGTACTAATTAGCGTAACGTCCCTGCTAACATACACGGTACATAGGTACACAATCGATATTCACCGTACATTATGTTATATGTATATATATATATATATAGTTGTGACTGTACCCTACTTGTGACAACAGTCTGACCAGACGTCCTGTCTTTTTCAGTCAAATTAAAAATAAGAATAAATAAGCTTTCAAAATATCTTACTAACTATAAATATTTTAGCTAATTTATATTTATTTTGTATTATATGAATAAAATATCTTTGAGAGCTTGATTGATCCCGTTTACTTTTAATTTAACCGGAAGAGGACGGAACGTCTGCTCAGACCTTCGACAAGTAGTGTATATAATTTATAATATACAAATACGCACACACGCGTGTACCAAGTGTATGCCTTCTTGAATCGGTCGCTACGTGCCGTAAGACATTTTATTTCAGTCTTTGTTACGTTGTATAATCTGCCTGTCCACAAAACACCAATGTGTGTGTGTGTGTGTGTGTGTGTGTGTGTGTGTGTGTGTGTGTGTGTGTGATGATGCCCGATGCAAGAAGTGCCACTTACGGCCTTACGTTCTCTTCGTATTTCGTAAACCGTACTTTAAGTCGTTATTTTAATCGAGAACATGATGTGACTCTTTGCCTCCAGCGAGGGGATGAAATTTAATGAGACTCACAAATGATATCGCGAAGTCATTGATTTCTCTCGACTTGTTGTTACGACGATTAACGTACGCCTTGCAAAACACGTAGTAAACTCTGTTATCTCATAATGTTCAAATTAAAGGAGTAGATACATCGTATATTTTTAATTGTCTCGTGCTTCGGATAGGCAGCAAGTCTCCAATTGCAAAAGCGCGCGTGAGAGAGAAGGCGATGCTTGTATTTCCGATCCCGATAGTAAGTAAAATCGTGCCGCTACAATCTTTATATATATATATATATATTTTTTTTACTACTAATCTCTTTTCCTTTTCCTTTTTCAACAATATTATACAGAGCTGTCACAACATATATACCTTATACGTACAGTAGAAGTACTTACGATAGAGCTCATTTAGATTTCTAAGAAGTTAATGCAAATAGTCGCAAATGTGAATATGTGTAAATATAACAATCAAGATCAAGATCAACAATCTGTTTGGAAACAGAAAACAAGTGTGAATAGTAGAATCTATACCTAATAACGTGTGTAGAATATTTACAGGTGACACGAATCGTCCCATTAATTTAGCTCGTGCGGTTTCTCTTTCTAAATTACCGCCGATCAGATCGATGGTTCTGTTACAACATTATACTTATACATTCGTCATCTTAGTAAATATAAACCTCGGGCAGGTTTTTGTATAATCAATTTTTCATTCAATTTCTGCCGATCTGCAGGCGTTTATCCTAGATGTTAGAAGTTCACGCTTTGATATTGCACGTTAAACCTTCTCAACTCGCATCATTTTAAATATGTTTATAAATGATATATTTCTTTTTTTATGAGTGCGACATAGAGCTATTTTGCTGCAGTGCAAACACCAACTACTAGTTGAAGGTCTCTCTCTAAACGCTGAAACGCATTGATATGAATCTATCACATGCACGATAAAGCAATCACGTAACATAATATGAATATGTACGGTATTTCGTAAAGATATTTTAACTCGCTTTTGCTCTCGTACAAATGTCATTAAAAATCTCAAAAGAGAATCAATTTCTAAGGGAATTTAAACGTGCTAAATTTATAAAAATTAACAACACGCTAAAACTTCTGATATCATGTGTGTCTTTTAATCTTATAAATAGAACGATATGCGCTCTCTCTCTCCTCTCTTTCTGAAATATTTGAGAAATAAATATTCGCACGGAAAGCGTCTGCCTCGCGACTCGGTATGATCTTTCGACATTATTCGGAATATCTTGCCCTCTAAATACGAAAAAGTAAGATAACCGTTGGGCAGAAGTCGAATTAACGTTACGTAGGGCATCAGGAAACTTTCGATAGGCACTTTCGATTAATTGGATTTAGTTCTTACCACTAATTCCCTGATACCCTAGACTCGTGAACGTCCGTTAGAAAGTCAGAAGGAAGCAATGTACCAAAGAGAAATAACAAAATCGTAGGAACGAGCAAGTCAAGAGACGGCGATAAGACGGCTGTCGTCGGATTTCACAGATCTACCGAATGGAGCACCTCGTAAGCATTGGTTCACTCCTCTTTCCTTCCGCTTGTCCACAGATATTTTATCACATCGTATCTCGATATATACCGTACAACGGTGACATAACTGCAACACGCACGTACGCGTGTACGCATATTTCCACGTGTAGGCACGCGCATATACATAATAATACACGTCATTTCTGGTGAGATTCGAACTTAATTTTTTTATTATAGTTTAGAATATATATTTCTAGTTTATAGTTCAAAGTATAAATAACCATTTACATTATACACGACTAAAAATCATGAATTATCAATATCTTATCTTCATTTAAATTAGAATATATGTAATAAAGTATATATATATATATATATATATATATATATATATATAATAAGTATATATATATATATATATATATATATAATAATAAATATATTAAATTAAATAATCGATGTAAATAAAAAATTATAAAATATAAAATTAAATCTAAAAAAATTTACCTATATCTATATGAAGTTAAATTATTTATGGGATTATAAATCGTATTAGTTTCACGTGTGTATGCGCGAATGTTTCGCACGTGGATTCACGTGTACGTGCGTGGGCCATATCTGTACGGGTAATTATATTTACGGGTTATTATCTGTTCAGTAATGTCTTCTCAAGCGTTCACATTTCAGTACGTCGGTCGTAAGGAACGCGTCGACAGATCGAGTCGTTACCAGTCGTAGTCGTGTTGATGAAAGGGATTGGTGCATGGTTGTTGGGCGTGTAGTTGGATAGTTGGTTTTACGACATCATATTCTCTACCCACCACTTCACTGTAGATCTATCAAACAGGAAAGTATATATCATCAATTTTCTATGTGTAACATATGTCATTTTTGAATTATATTAATTTGTTCTCGTGGCAAAGTATAGATAGGATTTCTCGTTCAGTGAGTGTAGTTTCTTGCGGGCAATAAAGTCGAAAGTGTCTTCTCCCTTTTGTCTTTTTTTTTTCTCTCTTTTAGAGACAAACATTGCGTTTTCGTCTTTTTTTTTCTCTTTTTATAGAAATATTGCGTCCTTTCTTGTGCCGGACGTTTTAATGAGAATGGTTTTACTGAACCTGGAAGCTCCTACGAATATACTCGTCCTCCCCCTTGCCAGTCATACCGTAATTATATCCACCTTCGCCGCCACCTCCGCCGTTTAAGAATGGATTTGTTAGGTTGCCTGGGCCTACGAATGAAAAATTAGAAAACTCAGACGGGGGTAAAACGACACAGAAGGAGGTTCAAGGTTTTAAATAATCGCAGTCTAAAAATAACGATATCAGATATCACCCAATCTTGTTTGTAAATCTTTGCTTTGGAATAATTTCTCACCTCCGTTAGTACCGGGTACCGCGAGATTTCCACCAGCGGTCTGATACGTCGCGCCGTAGCCAGCATCTTGATTAGCCAGTTCGTGCAGGCGGGTCGAACTGAGAGCACGCGGTATGGCGTTGCTTGGTACACCATGCGGCGCCAAGTGGGTAGCCTCGGCTACTTGACGCGGATCTTCCGTCTGCGGCAGTTCGGATACGAAGCCAGTATCCTTTCTGTAGAAATTGATGAAGACGAAGATCGCCAGGACGACGATGCAAATGAGACCGTACGCTCGGAAAGACGCGGTCGTACCTGTACCGTTGAGAGTATTTCATTATCGTCCGTTTGGTAAATATTAATAAATTCGCAGGTTTATAGTAGTCAGGAGCCTACCGTAAGCCGCGACGAACATGCCACCGATCACCGCACCGCAACCTCGTCCAAGCCCATGATGAAGTCCCTGAAGAACACCCTGCGCGCTCGAACGCAGCTGCGACGGGGTATTATGAGCGATATAACTGCAGCATGCCGCCCATACTGCCGCGTGCGTAATACCCTGAATGAACTCGAAGGGCAATACCCACCATGGATTTTTTAGCCATGATATGTAGAGGAATCGGAGTACATTTCCGCCCAGACCGAGACACAATACCTGAAACGTGCGTCATAATTAATAACAGAACGCGAAGAGTTTGTTTACGCTAATATTTGTCTCCTAGTTTATCTTTTACCTAAAAAGCAGTAAGTAATTTTGATCTAGTTACCGTTACGATATTGTTAAAAAAAAAAAAAAAATAGTAAAGGACTGTTGCAAATAATGTTACTGGTATACAACTTTACGATTGAAATTTAATCAATCACGAAGCAGCTTTTTGAAACGCTTTTTGAAACGAATTAATCTCGTATGATTCTTTACCTTAACGTGCCCGATCTGCCGAATAAGTTTGAAGCTGAAGAAATACGCGAAGATCTCGGAAATATGATTGATCACAGACGCAACGCCGAAGAGGGTCGGTGAACCACCGTAATCCTGAAGGTGCCAGAATAGGAAAGTAAAGATTAATCCGATGCCAAATCCCATGAACCACGCGACGAAGAGAAATGACGCGCATTTTACGTCCTTGAATTGCTTTAGCACCGTCACCCACTCCGGTATTTCTTTCATCGTTTGAGCGAACATCTTGGTCTAAAATCCAAAGTTATTAGAATCCAATTAATAACTATTATATAAACGTAATAAGAATGTTTTACTTATATCTTGATAAGAAATAGATATAGACCTTTCCTTCGGGAGGCTGAGGTTTAGGATCTATAGCAGCGGAAGAATCTTGCAACCCAGGCAGATTAAGTTGCTGGGATAATTGACTCTGGAGTTGTTCTTCCCGGGTTGGTTCGGTTGGTTTCACCACTTCCTGTGTATAAAATATAATTAATGAAATTTCAATAAATCTCATAAGTAGCTGGTTCAAAATTTATTTCTCCCTATAGTTATTCGCTCATAATTTCTGAAAGAAGGAGAAAAAGAGAAGAAGAAAAAAAAGTGAAATATTTATGCGTTAAAAACGTTTTAATTCCATCGATTCTTTTATATAATTTTGAGGCAGCAATTTTATTATAATATAAATATATATATTTAGAGATATATCTATTAGACTTACCGGCTCAGCGGGAACAATGTCATATTTGAAATTAATTTGCGTTGCTGTTATTAACGCGGCACCCATCAAAACGCTAAATATTGCAAAACAAATCGTGTAGTTTTTCTCTCTTTCGTCAGGTTTACAAGGATGATCCGGAAACGCGGTGCTATGATCGAGAGCGATTCCGACGAAGAACATGGCCAAACCCCATCCAAGACTTCCAAACATACGTTGATGACCATACCTGATGATCAAAATTTATTAATCTTGCAATTATCGTAAACGCAAAAGTTTCAATTAACATGAATATTAATTCCTTCGATTTATTATAAAAAAATAAAATTTATTATTCTTCAAGAGTACACTGATGTATATTACCTATCGGCGTCTTCCCCAAGTAAAGTAATAACAGCTGAATCAGCTAACGTTATGGCAGGTGCCGAAAAAAATTCACCGACTACGACCAACAATAGCAGGAGGAAAAATGTTTTTTGGATATCCTAAAATCACATTTAATTGATAAATTATTATTATTTTTTCGTTTAAAATTTTTTTATAAATAATTTCACTAAAAATTTCCCTAATTATTTATTTACAGATATAAATGTTTAAAATTACACCAAAATCAAGCTGAACCTTGTGACTTACCGGTAATCTGTAAACTATGGAACTAAAAAGCGGCTTCACCCATTCCTTATTTTCTCTTTCGTTATAATTCGTGGCATAAGTAACCGATAAGGGAGATAATTGATTAAGTCCAAAGGGGCCGTGAAATGTTCGTATGCTCCTGCGATTCCTCACCAACGACATATCAATATTTCTTTCG